AGAAATGCTAAAAGAAATAGGCTGAAGGGAAATGATACCTGGTGAAACACTGAAACTTGAGACAGGAATAGAGAATATGGAAATGGTAAACATGTGGATAAACATAAAATATTATTTCCCCCTTTTTTAAAAATACATGTGCCTGCTAGAAGCAAAAATATATTTTAAAAAGAATATAAAACATACTGTGGTATTTGTAACATATGTGGATGTAATATATATGACAACTTTAGCATAAAGTACAGGTATTGGGGGACTAAACAGTTGTAAGGTGTATATGTTTGTGTAAAGTGTCACAGTACTTAATTCTAAGTAGACAATGAAAGTTAAATAGTGAAAAGTAATTCCTAGAACAACTATAAAATATATAATGCAAAAGGAACAGCCAAAAAGTCAGAAGATAACATGAATTTCTTTTTAAAAAATATGTATATCTAGGCAGGAAAGGGAGGAACTAAAGAACAAAGAACCAGAGGGGACAAACAGAAAGCAGATGGTAAAACAGAAGATCTAAATCCAACCATATCAATAATTCCATTAAATGTTAATGGACAAAACACTCCAGTTAAGAGATACAGATTGTCAGAATGGATTAAAAAACAGGACTCAACTATATGCCTTTTACAAGAGATACATTTTAAAATAATGACACAAATAGCTTGAAGGAATTGGATGTAAAAAAGATACATGATGCAAACAGTAAGCAAAAGAAGGCCAGAGTAGCTGTATTAATATGAGACAAAGTAGACTTAAAGACAAAGGGTATGACCAGAGATATTCAGGTGAGACACTGGCTTCTCTAAAAGTCCCTTCAATGATAGGGTTTCCTCTGCCCATACCATCTTGGTCGGCTTCTAGCAGGCACTTCATTTTAGTTCAGTCTGTTTTCCTTTGTGAGGCTCCAAACCACATGTGAGATTACAGACGGGGTCAGGCCAGTGAAGGAAGATTCTCACCTTATTGGGCATAGTATTAGTGACTGTCATAGCAACCTAATAATAGTCATGTTCCATGAGTCTGTTGGAAGAGAGGGAGGGAGAAATTATTTTCCCCAGTGGTAAACTGTTATGTATATCATATTTGTGTAATGCTTTATTCTTTTCAAAGTAAACTTGAAGTTTAGGGAATTACTACATGGGTTTTTAGGATACTCAACCCACAGAAAAACAGTTATCCCTATTTCAGAATCCAAAACAGAAAGTATTGATAAAGAATTTTTTACCCCAAAAAATTCAAGAGAAAAGCAAGTTCAATAACATGACTTTTCTTTCTTCCTTGGCTGAAAAAACCAGAACAGATGATGTCCTGCCCCTTGTTTACCATTTAGCCCCTGGCTGAACAGGACACTCCCTTCCTGATTCATGTGCCCATTCCCAAATGTGATCTTGTGTTTCCTTAACCACAGGAACTCGGAAGGGGAAGAGCACCTGCGCAAGCGGGCCCTGCAGCTGCCGTTCACCTTCACCACAGGGGAGGCCATCCTTTACGAGAGCAGCGTCCCAAGCGCACTGACTGCCCTCCCAGACAGGAAGAGGACCAGGGCACGGAAGGGCCCTCCGACCGGCCAGGACCCTGTGTGCCCAGGCTCTCTCCCGGGAGACATGATGCAGCAAGATGAATCCAAGTGCTTGGCCTATGTTGCCCCCACCCCCCAAGGCTCACCCTTGGAGGGGCGGGCATCTGATGATGGTCATGAGGACAAGGAAGAGGGGGAGGAGGAAAGCAGCTCGCTCCTGGCCCTCATCGAGACCCTGCTGGAGGACAGAGAAGAACAGCCTGACCTCTGCTCCACCCTCCAGCACCTGGGGGTCACCGATCTCGACCAGCGTCTGTGTGAAGAGAAGCTTCTTGGGACTGATTTGGGCCTTGCAGGGCCTCAGAACTGCCACCTGCTGCCACCCAGCCAGGGAGGGGGCACTTTTCATGACAGTGGGAATGTGGGCTTGCCCTCACCAGGCAGCACAACTTCTGCACAGACCCTGAAGCCACGGTCTTCTCGGGGCTTGGGCCAGCTAGCCATGGAAGTAACTCCACTACAGAACGTGGGCACGGCGCCCAACTACCTTCAAGCACATCCTCGGCACTTTCTCACCACTGGTCCTACCACCCCTGGCCCCACACTCCAGAGCCCTCCACAGTGGTGGACTTGGCACAGCCAGGCAGAGCCTTTGGATTTCAGGGTATGCCAGAAACCAACAGTATTTGACTTCAGCCCACAGCCCAAGGCCTCCAGCCCCAGCCAACCTGCCAACGTGCATCAGCCAAGCCACACCCCTTCACTCTCTTTGGGAGAAAATGTCCCTGGACAACTGATTCAGCGAGGCACTAGTGCTTTGGATTTATGCAAAGTATCTATGCCGTGGACCCCCACCCACAGTGGTCAGTGTCAGGAGTCCTTGATCACCTCAGACCCCATCTTCTGTGTCAACCCATGTGGCACCCACCCCTTGAGCAGCATTTGGGATTCCACCAACCATGGCCAGCCAGTTGTGGTCCCTGTGGAGGTGGGGGCAGGGCGGGGAGCAGGGCAATCCCAGCCTGACCCTTTCAGCTACCCATGGGTCGTCAACCCCTGCCTTCCATGGGCAGGGCCAGCCAGTGATTTTCCTCCCAGCTTGTGCAGGGGTCAGCCCCCATCTGTGCAGGGGGCACAAGAGACACCAGAGAAAACTCCTGGAGGTCAAGAGTACCCACTCCACTCCCTGGGGATGAGCCAGGTTTCAAGGAACCCAGCCTGTCCTTCCCAGACACTTCTGCACAGACCCTCGGCTACATGGGGCTCTTACAATGCAGACCCTAGCCCAGCCACCAAGCAGCAGCAATGGGTGCAGATGAGGCTGCAGACCCAGGAGTCTTGCAGGCAGGTGAGAGAAAGGGCACCAAGTGTCCAGCACCCAGCTGGCCACCTGGAAGACACCATTCTCAAGGCCCCTGTGCTGAGCCCCTTTTCCTCCCCTGACGTCGCTAGCAGCTCCCCGTGCATAGGCAGCAGCCGCTGCAGAGGCCCAGCAGGGCCCATGAAGCAGACCAGAGGTAGACCACAGGTGCCGCCCGCCTGCCCTCCTGCCCCTGCCTGGCCACACACATCCATGCACGGCAGCTGTGACATTCAGCTCCAGGTAGGTGTCAGCAATCGGAGTCACAGGCAGCCAGGGCCAGCAGGAAGCGGGGCTCCTCCATGCTGGTCAAGCACAGAGCTGCTGGCCAATCCTGACATGTCAGGGCCTCAGCCCAACTGGCCAGTGTAGAAAGTGCGTGATGGAGTCAGCCCAACCAGGCCTCAGCTCGGAGCTGCTGTGAGGCACCAGAAAGGGACATGTTGGGGGCATTTAGCAAATGCAGCAGGTCAATGTCATTGCTTGTTGAGTGAGGCCAGTGATGGCAGCAGGAACAGCATCCTCCTCGGGGGACCCAGCTATACAGTGGTGGGCCCTCCAGCTGCCCCTCACTTCCACCCTGGTGTCCCCTGGATTGTTGCTAAGCCACCTGGACACTTGGGTGTAATTTAGCCCAGCCTTGGACACCTGGAGCTTGAACTAGTCATAGATACTTGAATCCAGCATCCAGTTCTGCCCTCAGCCCTGCTGTGACTCCTCCTACGGGCGCCACTGCCAAGGCCACAAGCAGGTTCCTGGATGAGCACTTCTCCTCTGCCTGGTGCTGTCAGGGAACAGGCCCCCCATGCACATGGTCTCCGATAATATAATTTCCTCCCTGAGATGCAGCGGTGGGTGGAGATCACACAGCTCTGTTGCCTGCTTCCCCTTTCCTCCAGGGATGCAGAGCTGTTGCCGGGAACCCCCTCCCGAATTCTGCTGGGTTTTCTGCTCCCTCTCATGGTCACACTGCCAACCCTCATTTCTCGGGCTTCCAGGCCAACCATTCCTAGGGGCCCTGCTCACACCTCTTTCCAATTTTTTGTTTTCCATGTGTTATAGGTTAGACAATCAGAAGACCAAATTTATTAGACTTAACTGAAACCAAAGCAAACAGATTCCTAATTAAAGCTTCAAACTGGCATCGTTTATAAGTATCAATTTTAGAGTCCTTGAGTACCCCTTTCATTCTCAATTTGTTCTCACATAATGTCTCCTGTTTTCCTAATAGCAGGTGTTACCAAATTGGAGTGCTCAGCACCATGGCACTTAGCGTTCTAGGCCCAAAGGGAAGCACATTTTCTCCAAATTCTGACTTAGAAAAGCAGTGTCATGCTTTGCACCCTATGTCTATATAGATGATCTGGGGCCTCAGATGCTGACGTTTTCCCATTAGATTGTTGGGTGAATATTTAATTTTTTTCTGTGTCTATAATTACACATATCTGAAAGCTTAATTTCTAGATCCCAACTTCATTTAAGCCAGTGTGCTTTATACTCAAGGAGAAGCATACGGAATTCTCTTTGCTTAAAAAGAAACTGCTAAGTCCACAAAAACAATCATAGGCACGGGGCACACCAAGCACACACCACCTAGTCACGTCCAGCTGTTCACCTGGGAGGGGCCCCAGCTGTGTTTTTGGTAACCACACTTCCAAGCTCAGGGCTGAGGCTCAGCATCAGGTGAGTGTGGGGCCACAGGCCTCCTGTTTGCAACCAGGGCCATTCCCTATGCCCAGGCTAGAGGTCACTCTATGCATGGCCCTGACACCACTGTAGGATGTTGGCAACCAAAGGTGGAGAAAAGGTGAGTGGGACTTGGCCTGCACACCTAAAAGGGGACCACTCTTCACACAGTACCCTTGACCCAGGACACTGCAAAGTCCATGTGCAGGACTGAGAGGAAGGTGTGGTGACACCATAGATTGGAAGATCCAGGCAATAGCACGCCCTTGAGACAGGGTGCCTGGGGCCTCAGCCTCACAGTAGAGCAAAAGAAGAGAGGTTGGTGAGGCTCTCTCAGCCACTCCCTTCTTCCAAAAAGTATCAGAGAGGTAAAGCCTTCAATAGCACCTTCCATTTACTTCTGTGATTCAGAGCCACAGAACTGACTGGCGGGACTGGAGGGACTCTGGGTATTATCCAGAGTGACTGCTTCAGTTTGGGGCCTGATGGCCAGGACTCATCTGTCGTGCTCACACTGTCACCCAAAACCAGGCACTCAGTAGGTGCTTAATGAATATTCGTTTTATGCATGAACCAATGAATGAGTGAACAAATGAATGAGTGAATGAAGTAACCCCAGGACTAAAGCACAGAGAGGCCAGGGGACTTGCCCAGTGCAGAGGCCAGCTGGCGTGGTACGTCCAGGTCCACCACCACTTACCAGAAACTTCTGACCTGCACGTGTGGAGCAGGGGGGGTGGGGTGGGGTGGTAAGAGGAAAGACACTCATGCTCAGCCTTCCACAGAACCCTGGTTTCTGCTTCTGAATGGGAAGCCTGCCATCCTGGACCCTTGAGCCCAAACCACTGAGACACCAAAGGCCCTGCAGCTTGACAAAGGGGTGAAAACAGACACAAAAATGTTCACCAGTACTCAATAAATACGTTAAACTTTCTGTCTCAAACCAAAAAATGCAGCCCCATTGTGGGGTAAGGTTGGATTCTCTAACCTCATGTAGACTCTACATGGGCAGCATTGTGCTCCAACAGGCAATGGTGTACTTTTATGTTTTTCTCTGTCCCGCCCTCTGTCCAAAGAAAATAATTTAAAATAATCACAAAACAGTGCATGTGCTTGAACACTCAAGCCAGCCTTGATGTAAAGAGCTGTCCTGTGGTATTTTCAACTCGATCACGTGCTTGATAAAACTTCTTTAAAGCATCCCTGTGAAGTGCAGGTTCATTACATGTATATAACAATGTGCACTTCAAATTTCTCTGTGTTTTGGTTACCCATGGAGTGTAATAAAACACTGAGAGTCAGTACACAGCTCACACAAATATATCCGCTGTTTCAAACTGCTGAGTAGCAAACCACCCCAAAACCTAGTGGATTGAAACTGCAATCACCTGTTTGCTCATGAGCTTGCAGGCTGGGCTGGGCTCAGCTGGGAGATTCTTCTGTTGGGCTTGCCAGGGTCTTTCATGTGGTCATCCAGCAGCTCTGCTGGGGCTAGTGGGTCTGAAGTGGCCTCACTCACCTGTCTAGCAGTCTTCTGAGTGTCAGCCGGGACTCCTCAGTCCTCTTACCCGTGGCCTCTCTGTGAGGAGATCTGGAACTTCTTGGCTGCAACATGCTCCAGTGCTTGTCAAGCCTCTGCATGGACAAGTGTGCTAACTCCCACTGGCCAAGCCACATCATATGGCCAAGCACAGACTCAAAGTGGAGGGCAGTGCACAGGACGTAAATACTGGGAGGTAGGCTCCCTCGGGACCCCCACCAGTAACACTGATGGGAGTGGTCATCTCCAGGTTAGCAGGTGCGTAGTGTTTGTCATACCCGCTTTAACGTGGTTGTTTGTTACAGGGACAAGCCTACAAAAGTCTAACACATGATGTGGCTGGACTGGTCCTCGAGGACAGGGATCATGGAACAGGAGGGCAGGAAAGGAAGACTCTGGCTCTGTCCTGTCTCCAGACAGAGTTGTGAGCTTGGGCGTGGGGCCCTGCTTGCACACCCCCGTCGCCTCTCTCTCTTCCCTTCTCTGCAGTATAGGGTCCCTCCATCCGCCCCAACCACTGGCACAGCCTTGCTCAGGACCCTCACATCTGGGAAAAGTCAAGAAAAGAGAAGGCACCAGCTGAGCACCTAATTGAATGGAATCCACAAAGGCGCGAAAGGACCTCAGCCCTCCTGAAGTACATGTTTTCAAGAGGATATTTGTAATTTGTTGACATCTCCTTAGGGCAGTTTCCAAAATGCAGCAGAGTAGGAAAGTCTGTGTCATGAGGCAGAAGACGCTAACTCTAAC